ACTTGCATGGACTTCAACTTCCAGAATTCCCTTGCTGGCTGGGAAGTTGTAAAATGTCCACAAGTCGTAAAGTCCACCAAGTCGTAAAGTGGCCAAGCTTGCAGGCTCCTGTGCTCAGACTGTGGTGGGGTTCCCCACTAGACTACAAATCAGCCCAATTCAGTACAGCTTGCTTTAACCCAGGGGTCACCAACCTTTTGGATCTCAGGGACCACCAAACTCATAATTTTAAATCCCAGGGACCACTAACTGGTTCTGTGGACGTGGCCTAATTTGTTGGGTGTGGCTTGGTGGTCATGTGACTGGTTGGGCATGGATGGTATGTAACTATGCAGGGATGGGGCCAGGATCATCTGGGAGTGGGGTGCTGACTCCGGAGCTTTCAGAGTCTGGCAGCAGCGAGGCAGAGGAATAAAGGGAGCCTGTTCCCAGTGCGCGTATGCACAGAGCTGCTAGAAGTTGAGAGCAGCTGAAACAAAGGGGGCAACTCGGGAGTAGAGCTCGGAGGTGATTGCCCCTCCCATAAGGGATAAAAGTCAGGCCAAGATGACGAAACCTTTGCAGGAAGCAAAGTAGTTCGATAGATTTCGAGTCCTTCTTGAAGCTCTGGTCGGTTTTTTCCTGGTATTTCGGTTGGTTTCTCTTCTAATTGGAGACCTCTGTTTTTGGCGGCATTTCACAACGCTGAAAGGCGTGTGCTGATCTTGAAGAACTGTTTATAATTAGTTCTGGCTGGGAATGAAAGTAATTCCCAGCGTTGCAATGAAATAGGTTTTGCTTTTGAAACAAGTTTGTGTTTAATGACGTTTGATGAAGCCTGGGTCAGAACCATATTCCTCCTCAGTGCTTGATCTCCTCTGGCCTCTCCTTTTGCAGGTGCCTTCAACTACCTGAAGGAGAACTTCTCCAATGCCCCCAGCCTCGACATGAGCAGCCCCTCCCTCAACATGCTGGTCCGTCTGATGATCTCCCAGGTGCAGGAATGCATCTTCGAGAAGGTTCTCCTACTCGGAGCCCAGAGCAACTTCCTCACCTACCTGCATCTTGCCCAGGAAGCGGCCCGGGTAGGCTATCCGACAATGGGTTCAAGAGGAAGCGGAGCAGGGGTGGTATGCTACCGGTTTGGGCGATCAGGAAGCTCCAAGGATCAGCTGAGAGTGAACCATTTGGTTTGTTCCGACGATCAGCTGTTTGGCCCACCAGCCTGCCTGGACTCTAGGCTGTGCTTTATACCTTGTTTCTCAAGCTCAGCTGATTGGCGTGGCACAGCGGATTGCCGCACGCCAGCTGTTTCACACACAGGGATTGCTGGAGAAGGTTATTAGGAAATGCAAAGTACGCACGCTCACCAAACCGGTAGGAAAAATTTTTTGAAACCCACCACTGGAGCGGAGGAATCTGGAGTCCCACCAGGGAGGACCGGGCACAGTGAGGGCCGGGGGTGGGTGGGACAGAAGGTCCCTTCTCCGGACTTGTGGGCTAGTGTGATTACCCAGCCTTCTTAAGCCACTTACAAGTAAAACAACTCCTTTGTGGAACAGGGCAGTAACAGTCTTTTATTCACGTGGATAAACAAATAAGTTAGTCCCAACAAACCTGGGTTTAGCCAAGAAATCCCAATTGTTCGCTGTATACTAGAAACAAATGGTTGTCTGTGACAACCAGCTACTCCCAAGCTCCTATTATTTATTTCCCAGCCAGGGAGGGGCTGGATAGCATCTTCGCCTGTTTTTCCCTGAGATCCGGCTTATTGCTTTCCATTGCTCTCCTCTCCTCTCTGTTCGTATGTTCATATATTCATATATAAGGAACCTCTGTGGCGCAGTGGTTAGAGCAGTGATGGCTAACCTATGACACGCGTGTCACTCGTGACACGCCGAGGCACTTTGACTGACACGCCTGTTGGTGTGGGGAAAACCTGCACATTTAGAGGCTGCCCGTGCTCGGCTCCAATCCCTGCTCCCTGCTTGTGGCGTGAAGGCGTGGTGTCACCGCTGCCGTGAGATCTTTGCAGCAGAGAACCAGTTTTAACCGCCATAAACTGAGGTTTGTCAGTTTCATTACCTCAGGAACGCTACAGGAGGAAAGGAGATCCGTGAGGTTCACAGCCCTGTAAGGTGGCCTTCCGATCCCCACATCCTGCACCTGCAGCCCTGAGACCAGGGAGATGAGTTTCACAGCCCTGTGTGATCACCCCAGCCCAGTCCGTCATAAACCAAATTATTGATATTTCTTGAAGTGACACACGACCCGAGGAAGGCCACACTTTTTCCCGATTTTCAACACACCAAGCTGAAAAGGTTAGCCATCACTGGGTTAGAGTGCAGTACTGCAAGCTACTTCTGCAGCCACCTGCCTATAGTTTGGCAGTTCAAATCCCACCAGGCTCAAGGTTGACTCATCCTTCCATCTTCCTCTGAGGACCCTGATTATTCGAGCCAATATGCTGACTCTGTAAACCGCTTAGAGAGGGCTGTAAAGCACTATAAAGCGGTATATAAGTCTAAGTGCTATTGCTATATGGGATGGGCCTCATCTGTCCTACCCCCTCAGTCAGCTCAGGCCCCGAAGACATCTGCCTCTCCGCCTGGAGAGGACAGAAGGCCCCAACTCTGCCTCTGTCTGAGTTGGCCCAGGCTTCGCCTCCCGTGAGTCGGCTGCTAGCTCTCGGCCAAACTTGGTTTCCAAACATTTCATTACAAGGTTAGGTAACACCTTCAGCAAGGAATGTCAGTGCTGGAGGTGTTCTTCTGCTTATGAGGGCTTTGTGTGGTCAGTGGGTCTTGGGATGGGGGGAGGTCACGTCAGGTGAGGGTTGTGATGGGTCTTCTGATGGTTCAGGTGTGGGTTGCCTCAGGTGAGGGTCTTGGGACGGGTCAAGGTGTGGGTTTTGTCAGGTATGGGTCTTCTGATGGGTCTTCTGATGGTTCAGGTGTGGGTTGCCTCAGGTGAGGGTCTTGAGATGGGTCAAGGTGTGGGTTTTGTCAGGTATGGGTCTTGTGATGGGTCTTATGATTGTTCTGGTGTGGATCGCATCAGGTGTGGTTCTTGTGATGGGTCAGGTATTGGTTGCATCAGGTGAGAGTCTTGTGATGGGGAGGTCACATCAGGTGAGGGTCACTAGCAGATGAAGTGCCGGCGGTAAGGGAGGGGTAGCATGGATTGGTTGAGGGTCAACACCGTCTCTGGTTGGTTATGCGGTTGGTTTGAATTCTGAGGGGTTGGTAGGTCAATGAGTCGGTTGAAGGAGTTGCTCGTAGAATGCCAACCCACACAACCCCCTCCCCAACCATCACTTCCCCTCCCAGTGACCCTCACCTGAGGTGACCCAACCTCCACCCCTGAGCTACAGATGTTTGCCACCATCGCGAACCTGGCACCATGCTATGGAAACCAAGCCAGATGTTCCTCTAGTGGCCCTCAAGGGACGCTGTCCTCTTCTTTGTTTCCCTCCTTGGACTTCCCGTCTTCAGCTTGGCCCCCTCTTTGCCTCCCCAGGTAGAGGAAGTCTACTCCTTGGTGCACCAGACCATGGCCCAGCCTCAGGTCAAAGACTATGTGCCTTTCTCCTGGACCTCCATGGTGCACGTCAAAGCTGAGCACTTCAAGGCCCTCTCGCACTACTACGCCGCGGTTGCACTCTGCGACTGCCCCTGTGAGTAACCACGGTTGCCAAGAGCTTCTCTGTGAGGGAGAGGGAGAAGACAGGGGACGTCGCTATGTAGGGAGGAACCAAGTCTGAGCTGTATGTAGAGCACCCATGTTAGAGCCTCTCTCTTTTTTTTCCTTCTTCTTTCTTTCCTTCTTTCCTTTTCATAGTCTTTCTTTCCTTCCTTCCTTCGTTCTTCCTTTTTTCCTTCTTTCCTCCCTCTCTTCATTTCTTCTTTCTTCCCTTCCTCCTTCCCATCCCCCTCTCTCCTTCCTTCCTCCCTCCCCCTTCTCTCCTTCCTTCTTTCTTCTCTTCCTCCTTTCCTCCTCCCCTTCCCTTCATCTTCCTCTCTCCAGAAACAACCATGAAGTGGGTGTGTGGGGTCTCTAACAATGCTCCGAGCTCAAAGCCCACAGTGCTTATAAGCAGCATCCTGAATAACGGGGAGCGAGCTTCCTATCTTCTTCTCCGCTGCCCTCACCACTCTCTGTAGGGACTTTCTATCTGAGGCGCTGCCGCCACCAAACCAAACAGATGCAGTTTGTTAAAACACTTTCAATCCTGCCTCTGTGAAAAGTGGCCGGGACAGACGATGTGCTCCCCTCATCCATGCTGGTTGCATGCTTCACTAAGGATGTCGTGTGGAGAGATCAATAATGCAGATCGTTAGTTATCTTCTGGGAGTTGAACTCCATAGGTCCATGCTGGCTTAGGAATTCTGGGAGTTGAAGTCCACAAGTCATCAAAGGGCCATCGTTCCCCAGCCCTGGCTTACGGCCAAGGAAGGTCCAGCGTCTCTCCATCCCTTCTTCCCATCACCTTCTCTCTATTTCTGCAGCCACGTCGGAGGTGGATTTTCCCGAGCATGAAAAAGCGTTCCTCCAGTTTCACGTCTCCACGCCGGAAGGACCGGCTCCTTCCTTACTTTTGCGAGACCAGGAAGCGCGCCGGCGCCTGGGTGAGTGACCCCAGCCCCCCCCTCTCCCCTCCAAAAAAATAACCAGGTGCAGAAATGAAGATCAGAAGTCAGATAAGAGGAAGGACATCTCCTAGGCTGCTGATAGTGTCAGGTACTCCTCAATGTACAACCATTAGTTTAGCCACTGCTCAAAGTTACAACGGCACTGAAAAGAGTGCCCTTGCAACCGGTCCTCGCACTTATGACCCTCGCAACGTTCCCCAGTGTCACGTGATCGAAATTCCAGCACTTGGCAACCAGCCTGTATAGGTAGTCCTCAACTTGCAACCACTTGTTTAGTGACCATTCAAAATTACAACGGCACTAAAAACGTGATTTGGGTCTGCTTTTCACACTTATGACCGTTGCAACACCCCCCCCCTCTGGTCACGTGATCAAAACTCAGAGGCTTGGCAACTGGCATGTACTTATGACTGTTGCCGTGTCCCGGGGATCACAAATTTGCAAACTTCTGACCAGCCAAGTCAACGGGGAAGCCAGATTCGCTTAACAACCACGTGACCAATTTAACACCAGTGATTCACTTAACAACTGAAAGTTTGTAAAGTGCAACAAAACTCCCTTTGCAGCTGTCTCGCTTAGCAACAGAAATTTTGGGCTTAATGTGAGTCATAAATTGAGGACTATCTATATTGTTTGGAAAAAATGTTTTCCGCGGAACATAAACCCTTGTGGGGTGGGCGACTGGGCAACTGAATGGAGCTAGCAGAGTGTTTTTTAATGGCCGGATGCCCTTCCCTGTTGCCAGTGCAGAGTTATATTTGGCAGATATATTCTCATCGTTGCCCAGAGAGAGAATCGAACTCACAAGCCTCTGGATTGTGAGGCGAGAGCTCCATCTCTAGGCCACCGCACCACTCACCACTGACCTATACCACCCCAGACAAATGGTTTTCCCAATTACTTCTTGAAAACCCTCCAGTCGTAGAGCTCCCACAAGTTCCGGAACCATCTCTTTAGAACTCTTTGTCTCCCAGCCAACCAAGCAGAACTTTTGCATTGTGAGGTTAGTTTGTGTCGTGGGTTCCAGACGTGCCAACTTCTGTGCCCAGTGGAAGTGCCAGCATTCACATCCAGAATGTAGACTTGCTTCCTATAAGGGGCAACATTTTTTTTTTGTCGGTGTGAATTGTAGAACTTCTACTTGTAGAACGACTTCCCTTTTTAAAAAAAAAATTAAGCTCGTTCCGTCTGCTGGGAAGATTGTATTTCAATTTAGGGTAAGAGGACCACAGTTTAAAGCTGTCAGCTGTCAAAATTTAGAGGACAATTTTGCTAAGGCAGTTTCTCAGTTATCTGGATGGATGGAGCAGGTGTGCACTGAGAGGTTTACTTTATTTATTTTTTGTAATTTTATGTATGGTTTATTTTTTCTTCAACGTATATAAATACTTAGTGATCAGTACGTTGTCTGGGTCAATTTGCTTTATACAAAATACTAATAATATTATTTAGATATACATAATGATAATCTTTCAATTTCTAAGATTTACACACACATTGTAGTTATGATGTATTATATTTTGTAGCAGTATGCGCAGTAATGTTTTCCCAATTTCTACTTTCTGCCTCATATTTCTAACCCCTAACACAACAATTCCCATTTAAAAGTATTATGTATCTGTCCATCATCCCTTACGCTTTACTATTTTAAGCATATGTGAGAGTAATCTGTCAGCTTCTAATATTTACTTATACATAGTAGTTATAGTAACTTATATAATATAAAAGTATGCATAATAACATTTTCCCAAGTTCTAGTTTCTAACTGTTTTCTAATCTTTAATAAAACAAATCCCATATTAAGATTTATTCCATATCTATCCATCATCTCTTGTTCTTGTTAATATTTCAACTCATAATGACTTTTGGATCAATCTCCCATGCTCCTCCCTTATCCCTCTACATCAAGGATGTCAAACTCAAGGCCCATGGGCCAAATCCAGCCCTGGGGTGGTTAAATCCGGTTGGCAAGGCTGGCCTGGAAATATCAAAGGATTGGCCCGCGGTGCCTCTGGCGGCTAAAACAAGCCACGTGCACCACTGCCACCCGCACTTCATTTTCACTCTCCGTGGCCTCCTGCAGCATTCTGCCAGCTGAAAATGCGCCAAAAATGGGTCGTGAAATGACCCGAAAACAGCCCAAAAAATGATGCAAAAGGGCCAAAGCCGACCCCCAAATGCCCCAAAACAGGCATAAAAACAGACTGAAAAAAGGTCCCACAGCAGGCTGAAAACAGCCCCCAAAATAGGTTGAAAAACAGCTTCAAAAAGACGCCCAAAAAAGTCCTGAAAAATGACCCAAAAACGGCCCGAGAAATGACCCAAAAATGGCTGGAAAAGAGGCCCGAAAAAGTCCTGAAAAACAACCCCAAAACGGCCCAAGAAATGACCCAAAAATGGCTGGAAAAGAGGCCCGAAAAAGTCATGAAAAATGACCCAAAAACGGCCTGAGAAATGACCCCAAAATGGCTGAGAAATAGGCCCCAAAAGAGGCCCGAAAAAGTCCTGAAAAACAACCCCAAAACGGCCTGAGAAATGACCCAAAATGGCTGAAAAAGAGGCCCCAAAAAGTCCTGAAAATGACCCAAAAACAGCCCAAGAAATGACCCCAAAACAGCTGAAAAAGAGGCCCCAAAAAGTCCTGAAAAATGACCCAAAAACAGCCCAAGAAATGACCCCAAAACAGCTGAAAAAGAGGCC